TCAGAAAATATTTTTGTTTTAATTTATTTCCACGACCCACTGAGAATTTATGACGTCGACCCCCTATATAGTGCCCTCTGATTTCCATTTCATTCTCCAACTTCGCAATTCCGTTTCTCCTTTGACTCTCTCTCTCTCTCTCTCTCTCTCAGTAAGCTTTGAACCTTAGCCATGGCGTTTAGGGTTCGAAACCCTAATTTACTTTCCTTGATCCTTCTATCTCTCGTTGCCATCGCTTCGGCAAAGGTGTTTTTCGAGGAGCGCTTTGATGGTATGGTTTCATTCTCTTTCTCCTCGTTGTTTTGTAGCATTTCCAGATCCACTTTTTTGCTCCTTAATTTACGTGCATTTTTAAATGATGATTTGTAACGTCTGTTTATACTGTTCATGATGAATTTGTTTGATTGTGGTGGATCGATTGTTTTGTTTGATCTGTTACGAGTCTAAATTTGAGTGTGTGGAATTTGTTTTTCAGGTCACAATGTGCTTATTCAGCGTGGATCTGTTTCGTTTTTATGTGCTTATTTGATTTAGAATCATGAAATGTTTTGATTATTATTATTATAATTGAAATACGTTGAAAATGTTGGTGCTCTTTGATGAAGGCTTTTGATGTATTGAAGTGAATTACATTATAATCCACTAGCCTGCACAATGATCTTAAACAAAAATCACTGCTGGATCTTGAGACGCTACTGTTATTTCCTTTGGTTATGGTCTAACATCGATATAAATTGCTTTAATCATCATTCTCTTGTGTATACGATACTGTTATTTCCTTTAAGATACTGTTATTTCCATTAGTCTGCTGGACGTCAACTTTTTGGCATGGTATAAAATCATATCAAATGCTTTGATGATTGTTCTCTTGTATATTTCCAATGGTTCCGGATTATGAATCTTGTTTTGAACTTGATATCTCGAACTATCTTGTGTTATGTTCTTAATACTTCAGCATCTGTTGCTATTTTGATTGGCTTGATTTCGAATTCTGACTATTTGTTGGTAATATTGAAGATGGATGGGAGAATAGATGGGTTAAATCTGAGTGGAAAAAAGACGAAAGTTTAGCTGGAGAATGGAACTACACCTCCGGAAAATGGCACGGAGATGCTAATGACAAAGGTGAAGCTCTTATTAATTTCCTTGTTGAACATTAGTGTGAATTACCTTGTTAATGAGATTTTGCCGTATGTGGTTTCAAGCAATATTGGTTTATTTTCTATTATTCCTTTGATGTCCTAGGTATCCAAACTAGCGAAGACTACAGATTCTATGCTATTTCAGCCGAGTTCCCTGAATTCAGCAACAAAGACAACATTCTTGTTTTCCAATTTTCCGTCAAGCACGAACAGAAGCTTGATTGTGGTGGTGGTTACATGAAGTTACTCAGTGGTGATGTTGACCAGAAGAAATTCGGTGGTGAAACTCCGTACAGGTCAATACTCAACCCTGTGAAGTGTCAATTTTATTTCATTTTTATTTTTAGTTATTTATGACAGAATTTATTGTATTGACATTCTTTACGATTATGCGCTTCTCGTTGCCTGCAGCATCATGTTTGGCCCAGATATCTGTGGCTACAGTACCAAAAAAGTGCACGCAATCCTTAACTATAATGACACTAATCACTTGATCAAGAAGGAAGTTCCCTGTGAGACTGACCAACTCACTCATGTTTACACTTTCATCATTCGTCCTGATGCAACTTACAGCATCCTCATCGATAATGTCGAGAAGCAAACTGGTAGTTTGTACAGTGATTGGAGCCTCCTCCCGTCAAAGAAGATCAAGGATCCCGAAGCTAAGAAGGTAAGTTCTTTAAACAAGGATGCTATTTAAGTACGATGCTTGTGGTTATGGATTTTTATTGATGTCTATGTATGATACTTGCAGCCTGAGGATTGGGATGACAAAGAATACATTCCTGATCCAGAAGACAAGAAGCCAGAGGTAATGATCCCTATTTATCTTGATCCCCCATGGTATCCGAATTTGTAACATAGTTCTTAAATGTTACTTGTTTTGTGCAACAGGGGTATGATGACATCGCAAAGGAGATAACTGATCCTGAAGCCACTAAGGTAGCTATTGAATTTTTCCTTTCTTATCTGTCTTCTTTGAATAGAAACACTTACTAATGAACCGAGCTACTTGTTTCAGCCCCAAGATTGGGATGATGAGGAAGATGGTGAATGGGTGGCCCCAACCATTCCCAACCCCGATTACAAAGGCCCATGGGAGCCTAAGGTAGGATGTCTCCGCTTGACACGAGTCTGTGCTATTAAATATCATGTCCTTTATGTTTATTTTAAAATTTTAAATATGATTTTTCCTCTTTGCAGAAAATTAAGAACCCTAACTACAAGGGAAAATGGAAGGCACCAATGATTGACAACCCAGGTTGTTTTCTGTCAAATGTTTTTAAATCTCAGTTGCGTTTCAACGATCTCGAACTCGTAGTTGCTAATTCTTGAGCTCTTTGCAGACTTCAAGGATGACCCTGACCTCTACGTTTACCCCAAATTGAAATATGTTGGTATTGAGTTGTGGCAGGTATACCTTCTCTCTTTTCTTTTCAAACCATTTCTGCTTTTATATATCTTGTCATGAGTTCCTTACATTGATATCCCCCCAAATTATTGGATATCAGGTGAAATCCGGCACCTTGTTTGACAATGTCTTGATTACCGATGATCCGGAGTACGCCAAGAAGGTCGCTGAAGAGACATGGGGCAAGAACAAGGAGGTCGAGAAAGCTGCATTCGATGAGGCGGAGAAGAAGAGAGAGGAGGAGGTAACTTCTGAATTCTTTTGCTGCTGCTGATAAAAATCCCTTACGGGAAACATGTCATTAACTGTTGAATTTGTTCATTCCCCAGGAAGCCAAGAATGATCCAATTGACTCAGATGTAAGTATCATAGGTCCTGAAAAAATCTCAGCTTCTTGAGATGATTCCTTCTATGACATAATTTGAAATATGCTTTCGATCTATCAGGCCGAGGAAGAAGATGAAGACAAATCAGACGATGCAGACGACTCTGATGCAGAGTTAGATTCGGAGAAGGACGACGCAGCTGACGACAAGGAGGATGCCAAACATGTAGGATTTCATGGAACCATATTGAACAATAGAAGGAACAGTTGCAGTATTTTTATCTAATCAGACAATGCTTATATATGAATTCAACTATTTTGCAGGATGAACTGTAAGGAGGAGGAGAACGTATGGAGAGTTGGGCTGCAGAAATTTTCCATTTTCCCTCTTTGTTTTTGTTTTTGTTTTTTTTTTTTTTTTTAAATTTCTAGTTGTAGAAAACAAAGTCTTAATGCTTCAATGCATAAAGGACTAATTTGCTGCCTGCTTGAGTTTCAGTTTTTAAGTTTGAGCGATTAGGAAGGAGAAGAAAGAAAGAAGAATAGGACAATTGGATGAATCGTGGGTTTCTGTGCTCTGAGTTCTCTTGTAAGAATTCAATTCATGAAATTGATTCATATTCTCTTTTTTTTACCGCAAATTTTTACTTTTATATTGTTTCTTATCTTATTACGTGCGTCAGTAAATTTTATTATTATTTAATCGGATTAACTCAAAAGGAAAAAGTAAATTGGAGTTCATAAATAATTGTAGAGTTTGTTTATATTATAAAATTTTTTTTATTATTATTATTATATGAATAATGCTTTATTAAAAAAATTATCACTAATATATATATATATATATATATATATATATTTAAATAAAAATAAATGTTTTTTTTTATTGAAGTAGTTATTAGAATTTCTTTTGGACGGATGAATATAAATATCCTTTTAGGGTAGGTATTGTGAAATAATAATCTTTAAAACATTTATTTAAAGTAAATGGCAGAACTTTTAAGAATAAATAAATAGATATTTTGTATAATAATATTTTATTTTTATAAAAAATAAAAAATTGAATAAATGTTTCAAACTATCGTTTAAAAAATATTTTACAGATTATTTTTTTTTAAAAAAAATAAACAATATAAATTTTATTAGCTCAATTATTGGCCCAATTTAGATACATACGTAGCACACAAATTTGGCCCAATAAGAAATATTTAAAATCCAAAAGGAATATATGTGAACTTTAATTGATCCAGGTAAATTTATGCACATGTGTCGTCCAAAGTGATGTAAATTGGGTGATACCTTGGGGCGGATTAAAGGTAAGCAAATAGCTTCTCATGGATCTTTTCTTTCTCCATTGAAAGATCTATATGGATAATACACATTCCAGTTCAACGAACCTAATTTTAATTGTTTTGTTCTGAACAAAAGATTTTAACCCCATTTTCTGATCAATCCAGAAATCATTTTGATTTCATTAGTAACGAGGATTAGGAATATCACACATTGATCAATCAAAGAGAGATTCAACAACGAAAAGAAAGATCGATTCTTTGGGATCCTTCATTTCTTCAAACGGAACGAACAGAGATAGAATCAAATCGATTCCCTAAATGCTACCTAAAATGGACTATGTAATGTACTTTATTTGCTCGGTTATGGGTGGGCATTTTACCAAATATTTCTATTGTATACATCTACTTTTATTTTTTACATGTCTACTAATTATATATATATATATATATATATATATATATATACACGACTTAAAAATATTTACCTAAAATATGTCAATAAACTTTTAAACTCTCATCGTTTATATATTAAATAATTATCAATAAAATAACGGTAATAATTACTATTAAAAAATAAAAATAAAATTCAAAATACTTATTTTCTAAAATTAAAGATAAAAAAGAATAAGTAAAATTCATTAAAAAAAAAAGAAAAAAAAAAGAGAGAGAGATTATTTTCCTCCAAATTTAGCTATTTATCATTAAATTTGCTGTAAAGGACAAAAAATATGGGCCCTGTCTCGTCAATTGGGGAAAGGGAAATAGGCCCATTAAGCCCCCATGTGGGCCTGTCTAGGGCTCCGTTTCGCTCGAAATGGCGGCCACAACAGCTCTCCTCTCTCACCTACTTACTATCTTAATAATACCAACGTTTCCCAAATGCTTTGATTTGTAATATTCTAAATCCCTTCAAGGGCACAGTTGCTCTGGTTTTGAGGGATTTTAGGGGCTCGATCCGGTGGTTTTACGGTCAAAATTTGCTGCTTTTCGAGGTCTTTTCTGGCTTGCATTCTGTCGGAATTCGGAAAATGTTTTTGGTCGATTGGTTCTATGGAGTTCTTGCGTCCCTTGGGTTGTGGCAAAAGGAGGCCAAGATCCTTTTCTTAGGGCTTGATAATGCTGGAAAGACGACCTTGCTTCATATGTTGAAAGATGAGGTGTGTGATTTTTTTGTTAATTCACTTTTCTTAATCTGTGTACATGATTTAAAATTGATGAAATCCATTCGATGGAGAGATAGCAATGTTCCGCGTCTTGAGACTCGAGAAATTAATTCAATTGATGTATGGATTCATGTTTTAGAAAGCATCTAATAGTTACTTTGCCTTCATTTCTCAACGTTTTCTTAAATCTGATTTTTTGATTAGATTTACTAGAATGTGAGGTTTTGACTTAGCGGCTAATATAAGAGTTGTTGTTGTCATATTGCAGAGATTAGTTCAACACCAGCCGACTCAGCATCCAACTTCCGAAGAGTTGAGCATTGGCAAGATAAAGTTCAAGGCCTTTGACCTTGGAGGACATCAGATTGCTCGCCGAGTTTGGAAAGATTACTATGCTAAGGTATATTTGATTTGAAAGATCCCACATCATAGCTTTATTTTATTTGAGTTGCCAGTTTCAGTTGACCAAATAAATAATTTTCTGTGGAATCGCGGGTTGAATTTCTTGAGAAATGAAATTTTTGAACTCCTGCAATTTTTGAACTTGAAGTTGTGAAATGTGTTCAAACACTGAACTATTTCATCAGTTCCAAAATGTTTCCATGCCCTCATAATCATAGACAGAGCTTTTTATGTTTTTTCTGCTTTTAGTATTTCATTGTACATTTTTCTTGTTAGTCGAACTGTTTTTCGACTGTAAGATATACTTGCTGAATATTCATACATCATTTACCACATTTGAGACCTCAGGTACTAAGTTACACCATATTCTCTTCTTTGAGAACTGTTTTTCGACTGTAAGATATACTTGCTGAATATTCATACATCATTTACCACATTTGAGACCTCAGGTACTAAGTTACACCATATTCTCTTCTTTGAGAAACACCTTTGCCTCCAAATTCTAGCTACGGGTTTCAACATACGTTGATTTCCTCTACCGTTGCGGTTATTTGAAATTTGAACTTATCATTTCCAAATGTTTTGCTGCCTTCATAATCCCAGACAAACTTTTTTTTGTATTTTTCTGATTCATGGGAGGCAGAAGTTACATGGTTATTTGCTGATAGCATGTCTTCTTGTTGAAAAAGGTCTGCTTATAGTTCATAACCATACATTTTTATCGTAAAATTCCTACCGTTCAAGTGATACTTACTGAAGTTTTCTAACCCATTCATGATTTATCATATTTGTGATTCCATTTTACTCCACTTCTGCCTTCTCTATGGTGTCAACATACGTCAATTTCATCTACGTTTCTGGTTATTTGAACTCTGTACAATCTCTCTGTGTTCAAATATTACCCTGCCTTCATAATCCCGGACTAACCTTCTTGTGTTTTTCTGATTCATGGGAGGCAAAAATCATGTGGTTATTCGCTGATAGCATATCTTCTATGTAAAAGGATCTGCTTTTAGTATATAACCATACATTTCCCTTGTCTTCAAAACTTTTATTAACTTTAAGTAATACCTACTAATATTTAATACGACATTTACGATATTTGAATCTGAAGTGCCACTGTGATACTGTATTGCCTTCTTCAAGGAGGAAGGATTGAAAACTTTGCTTCCAAATGTGTTACCAACTGAGTGTTTTCAAAATGTTACCCTGCCTTCGTAAACCCGGACCAACCTCTTTGTGCTTTTTTGACTCATGGGAGGCAGAAATTATATGGTTATTCACTGATAGCATATCTTCTCCTTGAAAAGTGTCTGCTTTTAGTATATATCCACATATTTTTCTTGTCATCCAAACTATCCTTGGACTATAAAATGTACCTACTGGTATTTTGTAAGACATTTACCATATTTGAAATCCGATGTACTGAATTACCACATTGCCCTCTTCGAGAAAAGACTGAAAGCTTTGATTCCAAATATTAGCAAATTTAATGTACATCCTTTTGTCTAACCCATTGTAGTTATTCAAACACCGAACCCCATCTCAACGATTTCAAGACATATCCCTGCCTTCATAATCCTATACAAACCTTTTTTGTGTTGTATTGCCTTCTTGTAGGAGGAAATTGAAAGTTCTGCGGTTTTAACATACAAGTATGTTAGCCTCTGCGATTTTTTTTCTCTCTAACAATCTCATTGTTTTAAAAATGTTTACCTGCCTTCATAATCCCAGACAAACTTTCTTTTTGTGGTTTTCTGATTCATGGGAGGCAGAAATTTCAATGGTTATTCGCTGATAGCATATCTTCTCACAGAAAGGATATGTTTCTAGTACATAACCACAAATTTTTCTCATCATTAATACCATTCATTAACTATAAGTTGTACCTACTGAAATTTTATATGACAATAACTTCTTTTGAGATCCCAAGTTATTGATTATTATAATGGCTTATAGGAAGGGAAAAAGTTGTTACCTTTGCTTTCTAGTACTACTATGGTTTTAACATGCATGTTGAATTCATCTACCTTTGTGCAACTGTACCTATAATATGTGGCCCTTCACATGTTTCAAAAGCATTTGTCTGCTGACCCTGTCTTATTTAGGACAAGCTCTCTGTTTTGTTGAGCTGTTTAGTTGCTATTACATGATCTTATATGCCGATATGGTTCCTTATTATGTTGTCATTGTTGTGAAGGTGGATGCAGTAGTTTATCTGGTTGATGCATATGACAAGGAGAGATTTGCCGAGTCGAAAAAAGAGTTGGATGCGCTCCTCTCCGATGAAGCATTGGCAGACGTTCCATTCCTGATTCTAGGTAACAAGATTGATATTTCATATGCTGCATCCGAAGACGAGTTACGGTACAACTTGGGGCTAACAAACTTCACGACTGGCAAGGGCAAGGTAACCATGTCTGACTCTAACGTTCGTCCTCTCGAGGTTTTCATGTGTAGCATTGTGAGAAAAATGGGTTATGGGGATGGTTTCAAATGGCTTTCTCAGTACATTAAGTAGTAGATTTTATTTTGTTTGTGCTGAGAAACAAATTATTTGTTCAACCTTTACTGTCTCACTGTTCTCTCTGTTGGTATGAATCTATTAGGGGTAAGATTTGTTATTACCTTTTTCATTCCCAATTGAAACTCCCACACCAAAATTTGATTATAAATGCTGTGTAGTGAACTGGCTACTCTATTCTTCATTGCTTCTCTCTTCATCTCGTACCCGAAGGTTATATATTGTGAGTCGTTGTTGTTACTCTCTTGCTTGCTTATATAACGTCTCTTTCAAAAATCTCTCTCTGCCCTCGTTATCTATAACCTTCTTCTTAAACTGAGGCCAGAGGCTCGACCATACGTCGCTTGGCCATAGGCGACGTGAGAACGAATTGGCTTAGCTCACTTGTCGTTGAAAAGTGAGTGTTGCACAATTGCAAGTCTGCTTTCATCAAGAGTGCGATTGTGACAAGTGGAATGTCTTTATGATATGACCCATATATTCTTTAAATCATATTTGAATCGTTTTGTAGTTGATTTGAGCTTAGTTCAAATGGTTAAGACATCTTTCTTGTGGTTCGGTTCCTTTTTTTTTGTGAGTTTTGTTCTTTTTCTTTTCGGTATGCTTGTATATTCATTTCTTTTTTCTCGATGACATTTTGGTTTTGTTCTCGAAAAAGAAATTATAAGAGGTTCGAATCCTCTCTCTTCGTGTTTTAGATGATGGAATAGGATTGTATTTATTAGTGAACCAAAACAACTGCATGGTTTTTGCCAAGCGTATATAATGAAATAGAGTGAAAGGGCACTCCACCACGATAAGAGTTTGAAGGTTGGCCAATCTCCAAGATGCCTTTGGTTGAATCTTCACACTTGATCCACCTGTCTATTGTCTGAACTCTTTTTTTGAGTGAAAGGCCTTATGTTATGAGGGTCAACCTCCTAACCAAGGGAAACCGAGTTGGAGAGGTTCAGGCAATGGAATTGTGAAATCGAATTGGAGAGGTTCAGACAATGGAATTGTGAAATCGAGTTGGAGAGGTGAATGAGTTTTTGGAGACGTGATCCTCTCTTATTCACTTGGGAAACCGTATCCAAGCTCCGTGGCTAGTCTACGCTCAAACGACGACAAGGAAGATGGCAGGCAGTCATTTCGAATCGATAGTCAGAGGGAATAAGTAGCTCGAAGAGAAGAGGATAGGTTTTGGTGTAATTATCCAAAATGTTATTTTATCTTCATATTCTAATTTTTTTTATTTCCATTTTATGCGCATAGCAATTTGGCTCAATAAAAATAAGGAGAAAAAAAATAATTTTGATTTTAAATTAATTTTAAACTAATAATTTGATTTAAAACTTCGAAAAATTAATTTAGACCTATTAATAATTTTTCTTGATTTGAAAGCTTTTCAATTTAGCTAATTTCTTAAAGTAAAAGAGTTATATATTAACCATTTCAAAATAAAATACCTAATTAAATTTCGTATATAAATTGATTTTTTCTCCGAAACTGATGGTAAATATTACCATTATAAATGTAAGCCGGAAAATATCCATCAACGTAAGTATGATATGTTGAAAATATGATGTATAATACCCCCATTGAACAATAAGGAGATGTAGTTTAGAAGGTAGCACGCTCACTTAACATACGATTGGAGAGGTAAAAGAATTGATATCATATTTTTTTAATTTTCACTATTATTGATAATGAGACATTTAAGTATTGAGACGTAAGACTTGTGGAGATGTAGCTCAAATGGTAGAGCGCTCTCATCTCCAAGAGAGAACTATTGATTATTATTATTTCAATATTTTTTCATTTTCACTAATATTGATGATGGGACATTTAGGTCTTGTGATGTAAGACTTGTGGGGATGTAGCTCATATGGTACAGCGTTCGCATAGGGGATTGATACCCTGCGTCTTCAAAAAAAAAAAATTATGACATATTGCGATATTTTTTCATTTTCACTGTTATTGATAACGAGAACTTTAGGATCTTGTGATGCTCACTTAGTGCGAGAGGTATGGGGAAAAACTTTTGATATTAATATTTTATTTATTTTGAAAATTTTCCTATTTATGTCATTATTTTTCATTTTCATTATTATTGATGACGGAAACTTTAGGGTCTTGTGATATAAGATTTGTGGGGATGAAGCTCAGATGGTAGAGTGCTCACTTTGCATGCAAGAGGTACGGGGTCGATACCCTACACCTCCAAAAGAAAATTGTTGATTATTAATATTTTATTTCGTCTGAACGTTTTCCTATTTATGACATATTAAGCATCGATATTTTTTCATTATCAATGTCATTGATGATGAAAAATATAGGGTCTTGTAATCCCAAGAATAGTGGGAATGTAGTTCAGATGGTAGAGCGCTCGCTTTGCATGTGAGAGGTACAGGGATCGATATCCTGTATCTCCAAAAGAAAACTATTGATTATTAATATTTTATTTATTTTGAAAATTTTGATGACAGAAACTTTAGGGTCTTGTGATATAAGACTTGTGGAGATGTAGCTCGGTAGAACGTTTTCACTATTTATGAATTTCCATACATCAAGACTCAATTATTGGACGAGAGCCAAGAAGTTACAACAGTCACTTGTATTCAAGCTATGATAAGCTCGTCAAAGATAATTCTAGAAGACTTGGGGCTTTCCCTACATGTTGTAGAGATGCATTAAATACACCTTAATTTGCATTTAATGAACTCGTAGTTGAATTTATATAACTCATCCAAAAATGGTTGCTTTAAGAAAGGTTCATATCAACGAAGTACGTTAAATAATGCAGGTCTCCGTTTGAGTACTTTTTCACCCCGAGATTACCCACTTGCACTCCGCCCCGGGGCTTTCTTGACGTTTTTTCCTCTCATCGAGCATCGGACATTCTCAACATCTTTCCATCGTCCTTCTTCAGCCAATATATTAGATAGCAACACATAATTACCAGAGTTCGATGGTTCAAGACTGATGAGCTCATTAGCTGCCATTTCTGCAAGTTTCAAGTTACCATGAGTTCTGCAAGCACCAAGCAAAGCACCCCACAAAGTGGCATTTGGCTGCATTGGCATACTTCTAATCAAGCTATGAGCCTCCTCCACGCATCCACCACGTCCCAAAAGATCAACCATACAACCAAAATGTTCAAGTTTTGGCTCAATCTCATACTTCTCAGCCATTGAAGAAAACACCTCTCGACCCTTCTCTAACAATCCTGAATGAACACAAGCAGTCAAGATGGCTACGAGTGTCGCGTCGTTCGGCTTCACATCCCCTCGTCCCATCTCCATGAAAAGGTCAATGGCAAGCTCTCCCTTCCCATTCAAAGCAAAGCCTAAGATCATTGTGTTCCATGAAACAACATTTTTGCAAGTCATTTTCTGGAAAATGTTGTAAGCTCTTTCTGTATTGCCAGATTTACAGTAGAAATCGATAAGCGAATTCCCTACCATTGTTGTATTCATTAAATCTGCCTTGGAAGTTGCATAAGAATGGATCATTTGTCCAACATCAAGAGCTCCCAAACGAGAGCATACAGGCAACATTGTGACCACAGTTACCTCATCTGGTTCAAAACCATGTTCTTCTATTTGTTGAAAGAGTTCCAAAGCTTCAACATCACGCCCACTTTGAGCTAAACAGGAAATAGTTGTGTTCCAAGAAACGAGGCTACGATCATTCATTTGCCTAAAGAGAGATAACCCCAAATCAACATTACCCATCTTGCAAAACCCACGAATCATCAAGTTCCAAACAACCACATCCCTGCGAGGCATTTCATCGAACACCTTCTGTGCATCATCCATCTTCTCACAACAAACATACAACTCAACCACCCCAATACGAATAGACCCAAAACACTCAAATCCACGACGCAAAACTTCACCAATAACGCACTTACCAAGCCGATAATCATAAAGATTCGAACACGATTTAAGCAGCGGCGCGAAAGTGTACTCGTCAGGAACAATCCTGCGATTCTTCATGGAGGAAAACAGGAGAAGGGATTGTTGGAAGGGGCCGGAAAGGGAATGGGCTTTGATCATGGAATTGAAAAGGAAAATGTTGGGATTTTGGGATTGGGAAAAGACGCGATTGGCATAGGCAATTTCGTTGGAAGCTCCGCAAATGGAGATGAAATGGGCGAGGATTTGGTTGGATTGGTGAAGGTCATGACGGAGGAAGTGGGCGTGGATTTGAGTGAGATGGGTTGGGGATTTGTGGCCGGAAAGGAGGCGGAGGATTCTCCGCTCGATGTTCCGGTAGTTCTTGCTCATGTTATGGAGAATATTAGTACGATACACAGAGAGAAGAAGAAGAACGGAGTTGCAGAGTATGAAACTTGGCGCCGGCGGGCGGTGGAAATGGTTTTGGACATCCATTAATAATATTTTGTTCTACCTCCATTTTTAGTTATTTTATTTTATTTTTATACCATAAAAATAAAAATAAAAATAAAGAGAATAAATTAGTATATCTCAGCTAGATGGCAAGTGCATATGCAATTCTCTGACATGTCGTCTAACACTATCCTTCAAAGACCCATTTCAAAGGTCGTCCACCACTATCTTTGAAAGACCCATTTCACCCATTTCAAAGGTCGTCCACCTTCAAAGACCCATTTCAAAGGTCGTCTACCACTATCTTTGAAAGACCTATTTCAAAGGTTCTCAGTCTCGTAACACTTACCCTCACTATGTCACACATATGTACCGCCAGTGCCCACTTACCCTCACTATGTCACACATATGTACCGCCAGTGCCACAGTGTGGTGGATAGCTAACACCATGCCTCCCCTTCAAGTATATTAGGAAGCATTTCCAATCTTTTTGGAGTAACATGATTTCAACAAACGGTTATATAGTTTCGTGGGGCGTTCGTCTATTAAGTTAATAGACTAAATAAATATTTTATTTTGAAAGTTTAGATATCAAAATATAATAAATAAAGCCAACAAAGCTTATTCTTAGAAAGCGAGAATGGAGGCCGAGTTTGAACTTTTTAAAGGTAGAGAGCCTAATTGAAGCAAATGTGTGAGCTCCCACGTTGTTTGAAAGGGAGAACAAAACATTCGTTATAAGGGCGTGGAAACCTCTTCCTAATAGACGCGTTTTAAAAAGTCCGAAAGGAAAAGCCTAAAAAGGATAATATCAGTTACGGTGGACTTGGACCATTACAAAATGGAAGCCTTTTAGACAATAATACGTAATAGCGACAAAGCCTCTGAACTTGAAGATAGAGCAATGACGCTAGAAAATCGAGTGTTGACAGAACCTCCAAATTTGAAAACAGAGAAAATGAAAGCTTCCGAACTCGAAAATGAAGCGACAACAAAGCCTCTAAACTTCCTAATAAAACTTAACCGATACACGTAATTCCTTACCTTTTCGGGATCAATTTAATCTCAAAGTTGACCAAATTCATCCTGAGACATGAAGAAAAAGATATGTTAAGGTGTTCTATAGAACAAAAGGATATAGTAAGTGTACAACGTAGAACAAATCTTGTTCTAAGTAAGGTCGTTTTAACCTCAGCTCAGTCTAATTCTTCATTGTTCATACTGAAAACTCCCAAAACATACAACATACAGTTCAAGAGGCTGGGAAGGAAGAGCCCACGTTTAGACCTTCCTTTGCACATCACTTCGAATTAAATAATTCCATAAGAAGGATCACAAAGGCAAACGAATCGGTAATTGTCACTTCTTGGATGAACGGAAACCCCCGAACCCCATCATTGCAGCAACGTCGGGATCTACTTCGGGTTCATCTTCTGCAGCCTTCTCTTTCTACACTCAGGGAGGAAAATGAAAGTGTAAAATGTGATCCTCTCTTTACCTGATGGAAATCGCATGCGCTTTACAATGGTGAGATCATAGTACTAACCTTCTTTTCTTTCTTCCTTTCTCGGCGCTCGCGCTTCCGTTGTTCTTCTTCTTCTTGCTGTTTTATTATACGCTCTTCGAGATCTAAATAAAGATAAAAAGTAACGTCAGGTTTCATCAGTAAACAAATCATAATCCTGATGATTGAAACAAAGAATAGTGATGATATCCAATGCTAGTTTATAACAATGCCATCCATCAATAAAATTAGTAAGGAAAGGAAAATTCTATCATTTCCCAACTCGAAACTAACTCGAACTCTTGGGCTTTACCTTGCTCTGTGAAGCTTCCCGGCGTTTTTCTCTTTTTAAGAACTTCAAATCGCTCTTGTACCTATTTCACATAAAGCTACTTAGCCCCGATGACAATGTATTTATAGTTCCATCTTTCAAATAATTCCATCTTTCTAAGTATTTGTAGTGGTACCTGTTCGAGAGATGCTCGTTCTACCCGCATGGACATACCCAAGGCTCTCTGATCTACAACATAAAGTCAATAGAAAAAACAAGGTAATTAAGACCTTAATATTTCACGAACATGATCGATTAAAATTGAGTCGATAGGTACAGCATACGTTTCTTTCCATTGATGTGATCCAAGTAATTTGCAGAATCCTTGACCACGCATTCACAAACGGAACAGTAGTATCCAGCCTGAAAAAGAACTCGTTGATCAAAAAAAGAATTAAGGTATTAAGTGCAAATTCTACTTCATTTCAAGAGCAGATTAACAAAAACCAGACATGCAAAGCCACCTTCATTTTTCCTCCCAGCTTTTCTTTTCAAGTCAATAAGTTATACACTAATTTACAATTTGAAATTTCTCAAATATATTTCAAGATTCGACTTCAACAAGATAGTTAAGCGCGATACCTGCTGGCTTAGAGGTGCGACTGGAGTGACAACCTGCACAAGGATGAATTAACAATCAATCCCAGAATGAAGCAGGTCAGAATCATATGATATTGAGCAGAGCAACTGAAATCTAAGATTAAATTTTGTATCATAATGAGGTACTAGTTGATTGCCTTTAATTGAGAGTGATTCCCCAATTAAAAGGTGAGTTCATCCAAACAGGCCAAATGAATATAACCTTTTAAATGTTTTTCCATCACTATTCAACGGTAACACGAACGGTTAACTATAAAGTGAATATTCAAAATAGTCATTCCCATCATCATATAAATGCCTTACATAGGAATTCTCACATGTCAGCCAGTTAACTATGCACGGTGCACGTAATATGAAAATTAGTCTTCTATATCAAATCATGATGCCACATAGAACCTGAACTTAAAGCCAGATCAACACAGAGACCACGGGCCAAAATATGATGAACACAGACGCCACGGGCCAGTTAACTATGCACAGTGCAGGTAATATGAAAATTAGTCTTATATATCAAATCATGATGCCACATAGAACCTGAACTTAAAGCCAGATCAACACAGAGACCACGGGCCAAAATATGATGAACACAGAGGCCACGGGCCAGTTAACTATGCACAGTGCAGGTAATATGAAAATTAGTCTTCTATATCAAATCACGATGCCACATAGAACCTGAACCTACAGCCAGATCAACACAGAAGCCACGGGCCGAAATATGATGACATAAAAGTTAACATACTAAAGATTTTGAAAGTTAATGCCCTACTGACAGAACAGGATGGAAAACAAACTATTAGTAACTCAAAACAGCCTAAGCTAATACCACAGAAAGAAAGCCACAATTCCAAGAAATATTACCAAAATACACATTGATTCGAGATAATGTTTCGAGGAACCGAAAAGGAATGGCAAGACTAACCTGGGTTTTTCCCAATCGAGAATTGAGGTCTACCTCATAATCTCTATGTTTCAGTGGTTTTCTTTGCACTGGTGGACCTTTCACTGTTCAAAGATAGCAAACTAAATCCTTCAGAGACATCAACCAAGTCAACAGATTATAGCATCAATGATTACAGATGAACACGAGCACAAATACTCAAAAAAACCCAAACACAGCAAGAAAGGAACCACTTACATTTAGACTTAACCCTCTCAGCCTCCTGAAATACAAGTTAAGAACATCAGAATCAGCAACATTTGAGAGACACTCATAGAAATTAACAAAACATGATGAGAACGAGAAATTCCAAAAGCCGTAACCTGTTTTTCACGGTCACGAGCTCGTTCCAAATACTCCTCTCGATCAAATTTTCTTCTAAACGTGTTATCAACTCCAGCTGCCTACATACAAGGAATTGTCCAAAATTAGTTCCAAAAAAGCCTAATCGTAATGCGATTAAGAAAGAGCAAAGGTTATCGATCATTTTAAATTATTTTGCTCATTTCATCCACTCAAATGGGCAGAATCACAACCAGAATCAGAACCACTCACAGATTCTAACAAGAACATAATATCAGTAAGTTAGGGTTTAAAAACGAAACGGGAGATTAGAACTTACAGTATTGCTGGTATGAGCCATCGCTGCCGAAAGCAAAACTTGCCCTAACAATTGAAACTCAGATGGAATGCTTCAGAAAAACAAATCCGAGAGAATATCAATACGCAAACAGAACCTAACATGAAAAGATTCAAAAGCCAGAAGAACATCGAATGAGAGGAAAGCTTTAGAAAACAAACCATAGTCAGAGGTTACAAAAATATAATTAGAAGAAGAAGGCACCGAACAGGGCGTTTGGTCTAGTGGTATGATTCTCGCTTCGGGTGCGAGAGGTCGCGAGTTCGATTCTCGCAACGCCCCAACTCCGATCGCCGGTCGCCGGTCTTTTGCTCTCTGCTATTTTCACTGGTACGGTGGCAATTTTCGACTCTGATTTTTCTTCCTTTTCTGTTTTTTTTTTTAATTTATTTAATTACATATTCTTTAGGTTAAAATTAATAAAAATAATTTTGAGCGATATTAATTTTTAAAAATGTTTTAAAATATTAATGATATTTTTTTAAACATTTTTAAAAGTTAAATATATTTTTTAATCAAAATATTAATGATTTCAAATGCTTAGAGTGGATAATATCTGATGTCTCAAAAAGTGGTATCAAAGTCATACTCATAACTTAGTCATGTCAATAGAATTCTCGAGCGTCGAACAAAGTGTAGTCATTGTGAAGATTCGTGGTAGAGTTTTATTGGGCTATCGATGTGCTTTAGAGAAAAAAAAAGTTGACTTAGATGGTGTTAACTGAATAGATGACTATCTAAGTAGAGACTCAGTGACACTTTATTCGATCACGAGTATATAAGTAAGAGATACATACTACCTCGGACCGCTTCAAAACAAAATGGGATAATTGCATTTTGGGCTGCAAACTTAGGCCCACAAAGGGTGGACAACCATGGCTCAACATCCTTATTGGGCCGAAACTCAGGCCCATATAAGAGGATGGCTGGGTTGTGCTGGGCTGGGCTGGACATGTTTTTAAGTGGGCCAAAGAAGAGAAACTGACAAAAAATAAGTGGGCCTAAGCTGGTTGCTGTCGGACTCCTTGGTGGATAGGATGTTGACATTGAAAGGCCTTCTCTGTTCTTGGTTGTTTGATGGGTCTTGTTTGTCATGCAAGAAAGTGATGTTTTTGGACCATGGGAGATTTGTTTCTCATGCTCAAAATAATCCCTCCATCACCATCACCTTTTTCATTTTCGTAACGTGTTGAAGAATCTCGATTTCAATAGCGTTCTATTTTCTTTCTCGACGTGACTTTGATTTCAGCAGACGTGTTGATTAGAGTGTAACTTTAAGAAAACTTTGCCCGTAATCAAAGCTAAACCTAAACTATCTTACAAACGCTCAATCATTAAACCTGTTCGTCTTGTTCTTCGTTTTAGCTTTAGTAATCGTGGCTTTTTCGACAACTAACATGTATTTTGACGTATTCGATGAGACTTTCACTTCATGATAATGATAATGTGATTGTTGACTTTGACTTATGGTACCTGATGAAATCTTAACCTGACAAGGATTAAAACTAAACTTGTTCTCGAGCACAACTAATAACGTCTGTTTTAACCTGTATTCAAAGCTAAACTTGTTCTCGATGGCAAAAACAACCTCGACGATGTGATGTCTCGAGCAATTCACAAACAAAATTCAAAGAACGCCACAAATTGCATGATTAAAAACAGATCCCTTGGCCCTATGAGAAGCAAGAGATGACATAGGATGCTACAAGAAATCACAATGATTGTGATTGTTTGTTGAAGCACTCCCATGTGAACATCTGAAAGACCTACCTTCAATTTGTGGATACCAAAGCATTAGAGTAAGAGAAATGTCTAGGAAAGTAGGTCATTTTTTTAACTTCTTCCCACTTCCCTCTTCACTAAGTAGTCAACTATAAGCTGTAGAAGTTGGTGTTTTCCTTCCCCCTTCCCCTCTTCTCAACCTCGTTCCGACCCGAACAGTTGAAATCAACATCAACTAAAGATATCCCCCCTCTTCCCAAACTCGGTCCAACCCGAACAATTGAAATGAACATCAGTTAAAGATATCTCCCCTCACAAGTTTCTCGACTCCAAATATGGTAAGATCATGGTAGTGGTCCTCTAAGATCACTCGATCCCCCCCCCCCCCCCCCCCCCCCCCCCCCCCCCCCCCCCCCCCCCCCCCCCCCCCCCCCCCCCCCCCCCCCCCCCCCCCCCCCCCCCCCCCCCCCCCCCCCCCCCCCCCCCCCCCCCCCCCCCCCC